AATATTTATAACAAATTCTGTATACTATGTTCTCCATAATACTATGCATTTCAATAGAGCTAAAATTTTATTGGGGTAAGACTGCAGTTTCCTGCAACTCATGGAAGTTGATTTACTAAAGAAGTTGAGAATGGTTACATAAATCTTCATACGATTTACTGTGTGAACATTCTTACTTCCTTTAGTAAATAAGCCTCATTCTGCGCAGTTTTACTAGAGATCACTTTTAAAAGAGTGTACTGTGAAATGGGTTACTATTTAAAACAATAAGCTCTACACTTATGTTGGCTATACACAGCTCAAATGTCAAGAGGATTCTTGTTGAATCTGTAGAGCCACCTGGCTGCACAAACATCAATCTGATAATTCTCAGCAGTTAAGTAACTGCAGCCAATCAGATGCAGTCACTGTTCGGGTATTCTGACAGAAGCAGGAGCAGTGACTGATAGAATACATCAGCCAGCAGGGATAATTCCTCCTTCCACACTGTTCAGTGTGGATGTGGGAATCTATTGATTGAGAGAAATCTTAACGTGTATGGCTATCTGTAAACTTTCTGCAGTCAAGGTGCTCTGTCTGCATTCTGTTCCTACACACTCAGTGCAAGCCCTTTTCCAATCTGGTTTTAACTTAACTGTGCTACATATAGACTGAAAGCGCAGGAAACGTTATTTTATTGACTGTGAATTCAAAAAACATACTGAGTTAATATAATGCTAATTTTAACATCAGTTAATCTTAACTTGCATTGCAAACAAACTGATCAAGTGACCCTGTCAGGTTTAAAAAAAAACAAAAAAACTTCAGATTAAGAGTTCCTGCAATAGCACAGTGTTTATACTCACCTCTTCAGCAACCTATGTATGTCTCTTATCCTACCTTCCCTCTTTTCCAGCACCACAGCCTCGGCAGGACTCCTTGGCAATCATCACTTACAGAAGCATTGAATGCCTTTTTCCCCCTCCATTTGTTGTGGGTTCCATCCTCCAACCTGTATGTCACTGCTGACTCCTGTACCGACATTGCGTCTAGAACTACAGTACACATCATAGGTATCAGATACTCGTAGAAGTGTAGAATGTCAGAGTCTTGCAGAGGCTGTAGCACTGGAAGGAAGATAGGAGACATAGGGAAACAGAGAGCAGTATAAACCCTCATCTATTGCAGGCACCTTGGATGCGGATTTTCTTAACCTTGTTTGATAGGACAAGTACTTTTAGAAGAGTTATCCTTTATGTAACCCACCCTACAAATCCCCACAAACTCTCTCCACTGCAGTTTATAAAAGTACTGGCCCCAACACTCCTCCAAGATGCAGGAGTGGTTAGGGTTAGACAAAGCATTATTCTTTAAGGTTATCCTTTTCAAGTACCGCTATGTGGGTTTGTTGCCACTCATTCTGTGTGGCTGTTCTCCCGGAGAACTAAGCCTTACTATGCACAATATTTCTTAAGATAGCAGAGGGGTGGATTTGGGGTAGAAGATCACACAGCTGCATGATCTGGTGTGTAAACATTTCCAGGATGAAAAAGCCCTGCACAGCTCGTTTGGGTCCCTTGTATCTATTTCTGATTGGATTTGCCATATCCTATGAAGGATATGGCAAAAAGAGAATGTATTTTTGAAAATGAAACGTGTACTATGTAAACTATTCATCAGAGAGTATACTTTCAAGAACATAATAAAGTACTAAATTATATGTATATACAAATTATGGTACTACATTATTTATATACACATTAGGGTACTACAATATGTATATACACATTTCTATGTACAGATAGCATTTTTAATCATCTGTTTGTGCTCTGCAAAATTGATGGCGAAAAAATTCTTATTTTGTTTCATTACAATACACATTCATCCTCGCAGTATGTACTAGCATAGGCATCCTTAAGTTACATGCTTCTTAAAGTTTATGACTATAAATGCTCATTAACCCTACCAAAGTTGCAGATCATAGTACTGTTACCACAGGAATTTAAATTAATGCTATGGAGGACTGCATGAATTATAGTACAAGCTTCAAATTACAGTAATATATCTCTCATGACTGTATAATATAAAAGTTATCATCTTGTATATTAAACCAGTACACATCTCTGGCCATAAATACAAAAACTTTACAAAATGGATTATTTAGGCATCTTAAAAATTCTGATGACAGTATAACTAAGCTGGACTGATTTTCTTTTTTTATGCATGCATTAGACTAAACCTAAAACATACCAAGAAAATGCTAACAAATACATTTGCTAACAAATCTTATTTTTTTAATTGTACTCTCTCTAGTTTTCAACCAGTCACTGACTTTGAAATCCTGCTTGAAAGCAAGATAAGAAAAAAAGGGTCAAACAAGAACCGCCCTATAGAAAGAATTAATCTTGCATGTAAAATATTTAGAGGCACAACTATAAATCCACCCTGTGATACGTTCTCTACACTCCACTAGATTTTTTGCATCTCTACAAAGAAGTACTTTTAGAGACAATTTAGGTATAACTTTATATTCATTATAAGGAAACAAAAGCACTTAGTGCAGTTTTTTTTTTCCTTTCTCCAAGGCAATGCAATCCATCATTGCTAACAATTTAGTTATAATACAGTCTAATTACTATTGTACATTGTAAAGCAGTGTAAGAAATGTTAGCATTTGCTGCAATACCATGGGTAGAAGTGACCAGAACGTTCTTGATGTTCTAAACTTATCAAAAACATACAGGAAACGAAAGCAACTGCAAGAGTGGAAAAATAATCTAATTTTTGTACATTGAAAAAATTTTAAACAACCATGCTAAGACAAGACAAAGCTTGTAAAACAATTTGTTACAGTTAACAACAAGTTGGTTTTTGCTAGTTCATCTTTTCCTTAACATATTCAGATTAGAAAACATGGCGGTGACTTTCAAAGTCACTGGTTATCTATATACAGTGAAAAAATGCTAAATATGTGATGCTCAACCAGTCACTGGTTACAACTGCATCAACTGTGGTACTGCAAGCCAACCCTAAAACTGAATTCAAGGTATGGATACTTTTGCAAAGTTACATTGGTGCAGCCCATACATAGCCAGTCCCTGTGGAAGTGGATATTCGTAGTAGTAGTAGTAGTAGTACACGCCGTTACTAGTGATCGTCACTGTCTTCCAGATTTCATGCCAAGTGGCTGTCCTGCTGCATAGTAACCACAGGGGAATGGCTGCTCGGCATGGGTGCCATTCAGAGAACGCATTTTATTTTTCCCAAGTAACACCAGGCATTTTCTGATTGCATAAGGTAGAAATTGAGATCTCCCTCATATATGCAATCAGAGAATGCTAAGCTTTCCCTGTATGGTGCCTGTGTTGAGCAATCAACTCCCAGCGGTTACTACAGTGATTCTCTGCTTCCACAGGGATTGGTCAGAAATGGAACATGAACGCTTGCATTGCTCCAAGCTGGACTAATGTAGCTATTCAAAAATATCCATACCTGAAATTTAGCTTTAAGAACCTATTATTACTATCTTAAACCTTAAAGTTTTGCAAAAAGGGTGAAAGCAATGGAAATATTTGTGTTCTCAGCATCTTGCAATAGCGAAGAATTTGAAAAAAATAAAAGCATTATAGTTTCATTAAAATGTATGACTGTGCAGATATTAAATTTATATAGATACACGTGTAAAATAGGATATATACATTAGCTAACAGCACACAGGCACAAAATAAATCTTACACACACAAACTTAAAAAAAAATGTTCTGATGCAAACAATTCATCATAGTTTTAAAATACAAAATGTATTTCAAATAGTACATGATAATTCTACACAACATAAAATATTTTACAAGACCAACAAATCCCAAACACAAAGTAAGCTGTTTTTTAAATGTAGCTGTGTGTAGATGCAAAAAGAATGGCCACACAACTATCAAGTGCAACCAGGCTCTTAACAATGTGACCATTTTAAAAGTGATAAAAGCCCATGTTGCACAATTTCAATTTCCAAATTCAAGCACAGGGAGTGAAGAAAAGAAAAACAAAGCTATTTTCTCCTCATATATACATATGTGGAGCCAAATAATCCACAAATAGGTGCTGGTGATAGGGATTTGACATTTAAGAGGTACAGTACATAAAGAAACAATTGATGCCCACAGATCTTTGGTAATTTGTGGGCTGTCCAAATTACGCATTCCTCTATAGAAATGTAGGTATGCAATTGTTGCAAATTAATACAATGAAGATGCAATGAGGAGTGCTTGAAAGTCTTCCTCTTTAGACCCTTCAGTCCTTTACAACATGCCATTTGTACCTCAGTGTGCTTAGAAAGGACATCCCTTTCAAGGTTTGTTGGAGATTTTCTGAGTGCATGTGCTAACTTGAAATTGACTTGACGAGTGGCAGCTGGCTCGGCATGATAGTCCAATAAAAAAAAAAAAAATAGTGAATGAAATCCCCCTATGAAATCTGTCTGCACCAAAGGACAACAAATGGTTTTGACACATGGGGTTCAGTTGCTTATCAATTCCCATTTTTCACATCATCCAAACTTTCTACTCATGGAACAAAGCTAATGCAGTAAACAGGGTGGGTAGAGCAGGGCAGCTTCTGTTATAAGCCCCGAAAGTACAGTATATAGTTGTACTAATAGCAACTTCAGTGACAGGAGCCCAAATGCGTCATATATATATACAAGCTCTCCCTGCACGAACAGTGCTTAGCAAATATAAGAGGGATAAAGCAGAAAAGCAAATAAAATGTATGATTAAAAAAAAATTATATTCATAAGTTGTTCTTGATCTTGGAGACTGAAACGTGTCATTAACTCACTTGGGTTCAGAGGCAGGAGCTAGATGCATTCACAGTTTTAACGCAAAAGCACAGATGAATGAAATCCTTTAGTTGCTGTCAGGCAGTTTTGCGAAAAAGGAGAAATATAGAAAATAAAAAAAAATGTTTATCTGGTTACAGGAAAACCAGTTCTCATTGGGGACACAATCCTAAATACAACTGCCCCAATTAGTCAGATTTATGGCAATAAAGGTCTTTAAGTGCTTTCAGTTCTTCAATCAGTGTCTTGTTTTGGTTTTCGAGGACAGCTACTCTGTTCTCCAGGCATTTTACATATTCTTTCTTTTTCCGACGACACTCTCTTGCTGCTTCCCTGTAAGAACAAATATATTAGTTGGCAAAAAGATAACGGAGTAAAAAAATAAGTTGCTTTATATCTTACTAAACAAAATTACCACCTCAAATACATGAATTCGTTCAAATTCTAGAAACACCACATGAAATCAAATTTCACAGCCCTCACAGGTGAAGGGAGAAAAAAACCAAAAAAAACAAATACTGTTTACATCTGAAAGGCTATAACCTTACTACTGAACAAATCTTGCGCAAAATAAACAAAATGTGTAATCTAAATTCTATGAACCCAAGCAACTATATAGAAAACTAATTAGAACAGGTACACTTTGCATACTTCCTTTCAATAGTTCTGTTTTAACAATAATATCCTGCATGTGGTTAAAGCTGACATTTTGACAAAATAACCCAAATTCATAAAGCTATAAAAGCAAAAAACAAGTGTTGAACTTACCTTTGCTGTTGATACTTCTGCTCTAGTATCCCTCAGTGGTCCTATGACCAAATGCCTATTCTTTTGTTTGTGTAGTCTCTGCTATGAAGGTGACAGTGTGGGTCAGCTAAAACTAAATTGTGAACCTCTACATCATCAGAAATTACATGACCTAAGCACTTGCTCATGTGACCAGTTGTTGAGGGATCTCCGAACACAAGTTTCTGATTTTTGTTAAAGTAGACCTAAAGGCATTTTTTCCCCCATTTTGGATAGATTGAGGGAGGTTTTGAATAGAGTAAGGGAGTTTATTTTGCCATCTTTTTCCCCATCGAGCAATTTCCCTTCACTTCCTGTCCCATAGCCAAAACAGGAAGTGGAAATCCCTTTAGATTGTACGCCCCTTGAGGGTTAGGGCCTGATGTGAATGTACAATATATATATATATGTAAAGCGCTGCGTAAATTGACGGCGCTATATAAGTACCTGAAATAAATAAATAAAGTAAGGAAATCCCTGGTTTTCATCAGAACTAGTGTCCCAACTGGAAGGTTCTCTCTCCCTGTCCTAACTTTTGCTGGGGACAGTCCAAAAGTTGGGACTTTTTTACTTTCACCGATAATGGTAAACATGACAAATGGAGAGGATGAATCTCCCTAATGGGGGAAAAGATAGCAATAAAAACCTAATAGGCATTCTAATCCCTCTCCACGCTACCCAAAACTTAAAAAGAAAAGTTTTGCCTTTAGCTATACTTCAAATTTCATAAAATTAATAAAGAAATAAGAAAAGGTGGTATGGGGTGATAGTTTACTTTTAATATAGCAAATTTACTTTTTTGAAAAAATTTTTTTTATAATTCTATGTATTATGCTCACTAATATATTGAGATAATGCCTGCAAAATGCATTGTGGTGCCATTCATTCTGACTCGCACCCCAACACATCTTGCAGACGGGCATGCATAGCGCCGTGCTGCCAAAAACAGTATGTACATCTTTTTTGGTGTGTTAGGCAAGACATTTGAGGGAATGAACTACCTTAATGCAAGTTAACGCAAAACATAAGCTTTAAGGAATGCACCACAATGGTATAATTGGGCCCTATTAGGGATTAGCTAAGAAATGAATCAGTTATTTGGAGATATACAGGGGTTAGACAAAAAATGGAAACACTACATGATTTGCGGATGTGAAAGTGATGCCATGTTTCACGTTGAATGCAGAAGTGATGCAACACTCTTATGCTTCCACCGTGTGATGAGACACCTAGCTAACAGGTGGTCATACACTTTGTGGGCTGCTAGTAATATTTAGTTGTGCCAGAGCTTACAGAGATTGAAAAACGGGCAAATTGTTGATGCCTGCTTAGCTGGTGCCTCCTTAACAGGAGTTACCTATATTCCATGTCACATACAGTATCAAAGGTTATGACGGCATGTACAGTTTCCTGCAAAAACGTCATCAGATAAACATAAGCACAGTCGACTTGGTCAACTGGCCAAAAGAGACAAAAAGGACACTGTACAGGATTGTGACCTGGAATAAGAAGACTGTTGTAAAATTGACTGTAGACCAAAATCTCAATCCAATTTACCTAACATCACTTCTGCTTCAAACGCGAAACATGTCACTAACACCTGCAAATCATGTAGTGTTTCCATTTCTTGTCTAACCTCTGTACATGTGCTATGTACGTACATGGACATTTTGACAAATACTATATGTGGTCCTTCCTATAATAAAAAGGTTCTTTGCAAATATCAAAACACAATGTACTAAAACACTGATTGCAGTGTATTTTTGAAGCAGTCAGCTGAAACAAAGTAATAAAAGAAGTAATTATATATATATATATATATGTTTATTTTAAAAAGCGATAAATAAAAGCAATTATTTTGCTACAAGCCATCTAGAATTTAAATGTTCTAAGGAAAGATGTATTTACCTGTTCTTCATAAGCCTCACTTCTCTTTTACGTGCTGCCTCTTCAGCGGGTTGGGCAGGGAGTGCTGGAGAGGATGCCATAACAACTCCTGGTGCAATTGTGCTGGTTGGTGCTGTGCGAATCTGGTAAGTTTGTACATCTCCCGAGGCAGCTAGGACCAAGAAAGTTCAAAATTCTGTAAATGTGCATACCACCTCTTATTTTAAATGTAAGACACAAAAATAATTACTGTAAAGACATTTTCAAAAATTAAAATCTTAAAATACTTGGCGCATCCATAAGTTTGTATGGAAAGTTTTTTTCTGTGTTTTTTTTGTTTTTTTTTTAAAAAGAAAACACAAGACAAGATAACCAAACCCAAGACTAGCCTTTCACTCGACTTTTCTTGAGCATATCTTTCACAATATAGGCCCCCTAATTATGTTTTTTTTTTTTCTTTTACAATGCTGCACCCTGCCTGTGACATTTCCCACAGTACAGTTGTGTGAATGAAGGCCATTGGAATCCATGGAAAACACTGTGCATGCATTTTTGACACATTAAAAATGCACTGGACTTTAGCTGGTGTGCACCAGCCCTGAAAGTTGTCCATACAGATGTGCAGTAAAACTTGTTAGGCTGGTAGCTTACAGAGCTGTAATGACTACCAGAAAATGTAATCAAAAGGAAAAAAATTTTTATTGAGCATATGGGAGAATACGAATTACCAAAAAAAAAAAGGAACAGAATGTGGTACTACCCTCTGCCACTTGGTCTAGATAAGGTCTGTTGCACACAGGAGTAAAAACATACTGAGTACTTTATGGAGCTGAAATGAGATGCATTGTTGTCTATGGGAGTAAATACAGCATTAAGTACAGATGCGTAAAACAAAATGTGCAATTCAATTTGTAGATTAAAAACTTTTTTTTTTGGGACAAAGTACTCAAAGAAAAGGTTTCTCATGTCAGGCAACACCAAAAACTAAACTTTTTGGCTTTAAAGCGGAGTTTCACCCAAAAGGGGAAGTTCTGCTTTAATGTTTTGTCCCCTGCTCAGATGAATGCTTCACCAACGACAAGCTCTTGCTTATTTCACCTACATCCAGACAGCCCCGTATTTACAAAGCAATACTATACCACTATTTACTTGCCAGCAAGGCTTGGACATTCTGGGACTCAGATGAATGCTTCACCAACGACAATACTCTGTTATACACCCTCTTGCAGTATAAAGATACATTTACTAAAAATTGCTCATTTGTGAAATGGAAACAGGAATTAAATGTAACATTTATGGATGCCAAGTGGACAAGTGCCATACAACACAATTTTAGTTACACTAAATGTGTTAATTTTTGGGAACTTTCTAAAATAAAATACACCACAGATGGCATATAACCCATTCTTGAACAACTAAAGTTTCCCCAGCAAGCAATAATCTATGTTCGCAGGTGATATCATAGTTCCATATACTGTGAAGCTACCCACATATAAAGTTATTAGAATATGGTATTTAACCTCCGTTCTGATATCACAGGTTGCATCACGAGGCCCAACAGGACTCTGGCTTTCCTCAGCATAGTTTCCCTCCAGAGTTCAGACCTGTGATTATGCACATACTGTTCATAGCCAGATTGCTTATTCTCAGGAAATGGAGAGGCAATATAGTCCCCAATGTTTCAGAGGTAATACAGCAGCTACACTCAATTTTGATATATGAAAAACAGATTACTTACCAAATGGGTAGGAAAAACCACCTGCATGCGACATATGGACAGCTTGAGATAGTCACACTGCGGGAAAAGACGTGTCCACTAAATATTCAAAACTTATTTTATTTGCCTTATATGTCCATGCCAGTTCTATTTTGGCTAGTTATTTATACTACCTGTATAATGCCGTTTGTCTTCTTTTGTTCGTTATCTACCCTTAAGTTTCAACATTCTTTAACCCTATAGTCCGGGTCGGCAATCCGTGGACCGCAATCTACCAGTTGATCGCGGCCAGGTAACTCCTAAATAGGTCCTGGGCTTGCCGACCTGCTCTCAAGCCAGGTTCACACATGTGCGCCCTGCAGGCTGGGATTTGCGCAGGAACGAGAGCCCATTCATTTGAATAGACTTCCGTGCCCTGGGACACACAGGGAAGAAGTCCCTGTACTTCTTCGGAAATCCTGGCCCACATGGGAACCGAGGTTCCCAGCATGGTTGCGATATCCAGTAAGGGCGGCGTGCCAATAGAATTAATGGCATTCACCCACGGGTCCCACATTCCTGTGTGGGTGGTGCGGCTGCGGGTATTTGTGCGGGTCCTGCAGTGGCACCACCCACACAGATGTGAATGAAGACTCACTGATGATGAAGGCGGCGGCCAGCTGCAGAACGAGAGAGGCAGGGCAGGAGGAAGCAGGCAGCCATGGAGGCATCAGCCTGCCACATAAGCCAATTCCACCTCTCATTCCTGGTAGTAGGATCCACAGCAGCTGGCAATGAGGTTGAGGTAGAGGTTGAGGTCAGTGGGCATAAGAAGGCACAGTAAAAGCTATGTGGGAACAAAAGCATCTATATAGGCACAATAGCATAAATATGCTATTGTGCCCATATAGATACACAAGAACAGCTATATGAGCTAAAGGGGGTAGGAATTGGGGATGGTAAAACAGTAGCTCAACCGCAGCCCAACCTCATGTGTAAACAAGCCATAAGTGTGCCGCCACCAAATGCAACTATGGGCTAGTTTACAAGTGCAACAGGCATTGCTGCTCCTCTGAAAAGCGATCTAAGCATTTTTGACAGGTGGCGAAGAGGCTGATTTAAACCTATAACTGCCGTGCAATGCACGCAATTGCAATTTGGTAGTATAACCATTGAAGGTTTAAACCAGGCAGAGAAGAGGTAACATAAAACCCTCTCACCACCTGTTAAACATCTCTGAAAAGCAATCTGCACAAGGATCACTTTTCCGAGGAGCCTGCCCCATGTTCCTGTGCAATTCATTGTGATGCTATTTTGCAGCCCATTCATTTTAAGAGGCTGCAAATTGCATCAGACGACACAAAAATTAGTGCATGCACTACTTTTCAAAACTGCAGTGTGCCAAATCGCATGATACTGCAGTACCATGCAATCTCGTGCCCACAAACACAATGAGTTTGCAATCTACATTTGGGGTTAATAATCCATATACCCTATATTGCCAAAGTGTTGGGATGCCTACCTTTACATGCACATGAACTTTAATGGCATCCCAGTCTTAGTCCATATATTTAATAATGGCCTGGCCCACCCTTTGCAGCTATAACAGCTTTAACTCTTCTGGGAAGGCTGTCCACAAGGTTTAGGAGTGTCTCTATGGGAGTGTTTCACCATTCTTCCAAAAGTGCATTTGTGAGGTCAGACACTGATGTCAGACAAGAAGGCCTGGCTCACAGTCTCCACTCTAATTCATCCGAAAGGTGTTCTATCAGATTGAGGTCAGGACAGGCCAGTCAATTTTCTCCACCCCAAACTCGTTCATCCATGTCTTTATGGACCTTGCTTTGTACACTGGTGCGCAGTCAAGGTGGAACAGAAGGGGGCCATCCCCAAACTGTTCCCACAAAGTTGGGAGCATGAAACTGATCAAAATGTCTTGGTATGCTGACGCACTAAGAGTTCCCTTCACTGGAACTAAGGGGCCAAGCCAAATCCCTGAAAAACAACCACACACCATAAAATGAAGCGCCCGACACAACAAAGGTGGAGCCATTTGGAAAGTTGTTACCAGTGTGCTGAATTTCCGTGAGGATTCAGTGAGTGGAAGGGGGCCCTCGAGTGTGAATCGCTTCATCTCTGAGAGCCCCATTGTGAGCCTGATGACTCAGTCACCACAGACCAGACCTGGATGACAACGCATATATCATATACATATATGCCCTTATATGTACTTCTGGTCAGTACATTATTGTACCAGATTTTCGCATCATGAGACACGGAGCACTATTTTTTGATGAACTCTACCACTCAGTGTTTGAACTCACTGCTAATATTACTTCAGTTGGTTTATCTATAATGGACTCAGACATCGCTACTTTGACGTAATCACCATTGCACCATTCAAGCACTACCATTAGTGCCCACTTTGAGCATTTTTATTTATTATTGCTGAGCGCTGCATAACCATTTACATACAACCCAACACCATAACCCTCCCTCCACCAAACTTTACACTTGGCACAATGCAGTCAGACAAGTACCGTTCTCCTGGAAACAACCAAACCCAGACACGGCCAGATTGACAGGGAGAGAAGCGCGATTCGTCACTCCAGAGAAAGCGTCTCCACTGCTTTAGAGTGCAGTGGCAGCGTGCTTTATACCACTGAATCTGACGCTTCGCATTGCACTTGGTGATGTAAGGCTTGGATGCAGCTGCTCGGCCACTGAAACCCATTCCATGAAGCTCTCTACGTACTGTTGTGCTAATCTGAAGGCCACATGAACTTTGGAGGTCTTTAGCTATTGTCTCTGCAGACAGTTGGTGACGTCTGCGCTCAGCATGCACTGTCATTTTATGTGGCCTACCACTAACAGTTAACCATGCAATACTTAGTAGCAAGGAATTTTCACAGATGGACTTATTGCACAGGTGACAACCTATCACAGTACCACGCTTGAATTCACTGAGCTCCTGAGAGCGACTCATTCTTTCAAAAATGTCTGTAGAAGCAGTCTGCATGCCTAGATGCTTGATTTTATATACCTGTGGCCATAGAGGTGAATCCAATGATTTGGACGGGTGTCCCAATTCTTTTGGCAATATAGTGTACTTATTTTACCCACTCTATATACAGCTACGTTTGTCATGAAAGATAACATCTATGCACTTTTTATTTTGCTAGCACTGTACTTTGGTTACTACATATTCAACGAGATTCACCAACTATACTGTACGGGTCTATCTGTATTCCAAGTTGGAAAGTTAAACAAAATTTTTATGCTAATAATAATAAAAATAGCAAAAAAAAAAAAATTTGCAGTTAAAAATGAAAATTGTTTGTGTCTATGTAGAATACCAAAACATTTAATATTATGCAATTTTGGAATTGCTAAAGGTCTGATTAGAAACAGACAAATCTAGACATTCAGCAATTCTCTGTAACTGTGCAGCTGAATGTAACTGCTCACAGGCGCTT